ACACAGAAACGATTAAAATGAATTGGTGACTAATTTAAGAGAAAAAAGTGATTAACAAGTGAAAAAAAATTAAGAGAGGGAAAAAAAAGAAGCTTTTTTCGTCGTTCACAAATGAAGCGCTCTGTTGCATGGAGGGACCGCCACATCAGATCGGTTTTTAGTCTTTTTATTTTCAGAAATGGCCGAGGCCTTCAGCATTCGCTTGTTTTATATACATACATATCTATTAACGAGAGATGAATAGTCTCCTCTTGCTTTTATCTTCAAAATGTTAAAGATCATTCGTTCTCAAATCCAAAACAAATGACCGATCGATGCTAATTATTTGATCTTTTTTCGTGGCGCCATTTCTTTGTCTTAACGTTTGCATCAATCGCTTGCCTCTGTATTTTATTAAGATTAATTCCTTTAATGTCCTCCTTTATTATAGCTTTACATACGGCTCAAATGGTCAACTTTGTCTTCCGCTAATTCAATCCGCTAATCGCGTTCCAGTTTTCATTCTTTCCTGTCGGCTTATTCGTATTCTTTTCAATAGATTTTTTTTTCCTCTAGATTATGGTTTATTTTTCTCCTGATCATTTTTTTGTCTCACTTGTTGCATTCTTATCTTTTATGCTTATCCTATTTCCCAGCTGAGTTTTCGTTATGTTTTTCTGTGAATATCTTTGATCAGTATCAAATAGTTCCTCCTCTTTTTTTGATACACGGTGTTTTTTTTTTATTCTTTCCTTTCTCCCTATCAAATGTTTTCCTTCTTTCGACTACCTTTTCTTTCTATGCAGCATCTTTATACGCATCTTTACCTCTGTTAAACATGGATATTTTTCTCTTTGCTTTCTGGCTCCAGTTCTTCCTACTATGATTCACCTATCATCATTCTCATACGTACTTTATACATGATAAAAGTTTGCCGCCATGTTGATTCTTTTCTTCGTTTTTACTATCTTCCAATTATTCTTCCTCCTCGTTAATCTTTTTCTTCTTTTCTATTATGTTCTTCCTTTCTTTTCATCATTTCCTTCATATTTCTTATTGCCATCATTTATTGCTCGACTTATATCTGTAAAAAATATTATGGCTTAAGTTGGATACTCTATTGCATGCAGGCAGAACTTACTTTTTCAAATTACAATGATTACACGGTTGAAAATAATCCTTTTCTATGAATGAGAAATTCAAAGAAAAACGCTAGAAACTTGACGCACTTAAGAATGGGTAACTAGAAAACTATTCATCACTTTTTCTTAAACAAAATTTTATTCAATAAAAGGATCAAGAATCATTCATCACTGAAGGTTAAGATAAGCTACCGTTATTGCTGAATGTAGTGTGATATGAATGGAAAAGATGGTAAGATGGTAATGATAAGCAGAGAAGATGACGATTAACTCGAAGAGATCAAGTTTCAAGTGTTCAGGAAACTGTTCTACAAAGTGTCAGTCCTTCGAAAAAAAAAAACCTGTCTGAATGAAACTTTCTTACATTTCGAAAAAGATGGAAATAAGTATGTGAAGTGACATGGCGTGATTGAATTGTAAAGTTATGAACTATTGAAACTAAAGAAGATAGTTCATCTCTCTCTCTCTCTCTATATATATATATATATATATATAGCTTTTAGTTTTAATCAATTAACACCAGGCAAGGCGATAATTCACTAAGACGCAAATGGTTACTAGAAGTGAAAGAGAAAGAAAAAACTTTAGAAGTAACTGGAAATCCAATCCTAAACAGGAAACAATGGATACACCTCTACTGTTAAAAAAGAATGGGGATTAGTGTGAGAAAGACTGATTTCACTTTTATGACTCAGTCACAAGGAATCTCCCGTAAGTCCACGTCTCGCTATTTCCTTGGCAAATCCTTTCTTTAGTTCCAACAGTTTTGACCATCGTAGACAGACTCAACATGCTGCGTATACTGGGACCAATAATCTGCAATCTCTTCGCCTTCGACTAGTGAAAAGTAAGTTCCACTCAGACAGCCGCTTTCCAAGCACTGCTACTTTGGGGAATACATTCTCGAGTGGATGCTTTCCCGATTCCTAAAATCTTAACCACTTTAAGTTAACCATTATGTCCGCTTCGTAGCCTCATAAACTGCACTTCTTACATCCTCTACCTACGCTCATACAACATCAATCAGTAACCATCTTCCTTGTGTAACTTTTTCGCCTTGTATTGTCTGGTGTTAAAAAAAAACAAGAAAAAACTCATCACCAAATTTACTTAACAGTAACATAAATATGATTACTTTTTTGTCTTCAATACAAACTATGCGATAATACATATTTGTTTATTAAATATTTGTATGTATATATCTATCAACTAGCCATGGAGTCATTTCAGAAGTTGAAGAGTTTGCGTTGGTAACTCCTGACGCTTTCGTTGCTGTTGGAATCCGGAATTTTTTTGTTTAATTTCTTCAAACTTTGGAAATTTAGCAGTTAGCGATTTTCATTTGCTTCGGTCGCCAGAACATTTCGTAAGTGGCAGAACATTTGGAAGATGTTTCTTGGAAATCTTGCATTTCCTTCAACGTCGTGTTGCTGTCATTTAAAATAAAAATGTTTACAGGTTTCATAAAGGATATTTAAATAAATCTAATTTACATTTGTTTTTTATCTTTTCTGATAACCTAATTACTGTCTGTACACCACAATTTAAATCGCCCTGGGTATGACGATAAACTACATCCGCCTCCTGGGTAAGACGATAAACTACATCCAAAAGCAAGGCCTCTGATCAGGTTTTGAGGAGCGTGGAACCACCTCTTAGTTGCTGGTGTTCCCAGGTCCACCCTGCCGCGGGATTGTAGCACCTGTCAAGGTCCCAGCTATGGACAAATAGTTACCCGCCCCCCTAACTGGAGTCAAAGCACTATGAAATTGTAAAAATAGGTTTTAATACCAGAAATACTTGGTAAAAAATTATTACCAGTAATAAAGTTTTGAAAAAAAATATTACCAGCAATAAAAATCTTGTCGGCATAAAATAACTCAATGAGGTTTAATATGCCACCAAACAAACTATATATTTTTGAATTAAAAATTTACCAGCAATAAAAATTAGCGGCATTAAATAACTCATTGCGGTTAATATACCGTAAAACAAACCAAACCAAACGGCAATTTAAAAATAGATACTTAATTAATCTACCCAAATGTTGCAAATGGGAAACAACCAGTGAGGATTTTCATCAATAAAAAAAATCTAAACAATCGTGCATTGTCTCCTTATTTAAATTATCTTTCAAATATGATATGGAGGTTTTTTTTGTATACATTTTTAAGCTTCAGGGCTTAAGAGATCATGGCTGTCCACATGTTCCATTTCGCTATCATCTGCGAATTTGCCATGTGTGTTGGAAGGAGATAGTGTAGGGATTTGTTTTCCGCACGGTCTGGAATTTAGAGTTTTATTTTTCTTAACCTTAAATAGCAACCAGCCTAAAGATCCAAGTCTCCTCTGGTATTTATTCAATAGTTGTGGGAAGAACTGGGTCCGTGCCTTTCCCAAGGATTTTAATGCAAAAGACCACCACTGAATTTTAACGATGCTAATTTTTGTAGTCATAAGTGTTACATTCCATCCGGGCATCCATTCACACAATTTTTTTTTCTTTAAAAACGATTTTTTAAAAATTCTTAATAATACCAGGATAATCTGTGGCTTTAAAGAAAAAGTTCATTTTTATCTAAGTGTATACAAATTTAAGGTTTTTTTGCATTATTTAATGTGCTATCATATTAACATCCCAAATATGGAAATTATTCTGAATTTCTGGGATTAGAAGACTTGTTCTCCAGGTAACATTTAGGATATTTTCAAAATTAACCGTTTATTTAATCTAAATAATCTAACCACTTAGATTAAATAAAGAATATAGTTCAAAATTCCGTGAAAGTTACACTGCCCAAACATTGTGATATTGACAAAGATAATGGCAATCATCTGTATGTAAATAAAGTAAACATATAAATATGGCTGATCGTCCATATCTACCGACTTGTTCGGTGGAATCTTTGATAGACATCTTGTTTCAGTATTTACGTTTCCATCCATTGAAACTACGAACCTAAAGTGCAGAGTTAGATGTAAATTCCTATGTAGATCTAGTGATCAATACAAATGTGTCTTTGTAAAATATATTAAATACTGAAACAGCACGTGTATATCGGGGCCTACATTCCCCTCGCGTGTACTCAAAACTGCTCTGCGATGCAATCAAAACACCAAAACACAAATTACGCAGATGTAATTTCTTGCTTAACCCGTTTCGAGTTTTATTTAGCGTACATTGTTGGCGCCACATCGTCCATGAAAGAAGCCGCAGCAAGGCGTTACAGCTATTGACATTTTTCTTAGATAAAACTCAACGCCCCGATTTGTAATGGCTGAATTTGTCTTAACTTTTCAGAAGTATTTCTCTTTCTTCCAGCAATTTTCAGCTTCTGAATGGACGCCGTAGTGTCCACTCGTTGTTTGACCTATAACACGTATAGATTAAATATTAATTCACCCCTCAATATAAGCATCGAATGTGGTCAAGGTCTCTCTCTCTAGAAGGACAGATAGCTGAATATTAAACGCATATCACATCCGTCATTTTGAATCTCGATAGTCTTGGAATTTAAGGATAGCTGAAACTAGGAGTAAGTTTAAAATGTAGAGCACCCAGTGTGTTTCGTTCTCAATAAAGAGAAATTCTTTGATACTTTAAATTTATCTGCTTACCAACACCACACGGTGAAGCGAGTCTTCCTGATATTGTTATGCTTGGCTTTCGATGACGCAAGTAAAAAATGTAGGCCACTTAGTGAGGATCAACATGGCGACTACAATAATGATCTTCCAGAAAACTTACAACCTATTACTGCCTTACACTATTACGAGGTAACTATTGGAAATTAAATAATGGATTTTTTATGAGAGACTCAATATCTGTCCAAATCATTAAAAAAAAAACAAAAAAACCTCAGCTTACAGACACATCACATTAAAACACCGGTTCTCGTACGAACGCCGAAGTTAAGGAATATCGTGCGTAGTTAGTACATAGATGGGTGACCGCTTGGGAATACCAAGTGCTGTAAGCTTGGATGCGAAGACGGTGTAAAGGATAATGGCTCTGAATTGTTAATCGGGGAGCAGCGTTTCAATTCCTGTTTGGTTTGTTATATTCACTTATGTGCAGATACTTTTGGGACAGGTAAGAATCCACACTTCCCCCAGATATGGGTTAAATAGTAAGACTCGTATCACTAAAACATTATCTAAAAAAAAATTCTTACAATCTAAAAAATATTTTCTGGTTTAAATAACCTGCAAATAATAAGCCATAGAAAAACGAAAAACAAAAACAAAAGCATTTCAAAACCTATTTAGAGGATTATAAATGAATGTCTACCTCATGTTAGTTTTTAAAATTCTAATTTCTTTTTCAGGCCTATCTAGTGCATTGACTCAGCAGCTTCGAAAATGACAAAGAAGAATAAAAATGCATACCGTGATTATGGAACCAACCGCTAACCACAAATATGACAAGTCTAACCAACAAAAGCCGTCGACGTAAATAGAGCACCCACCGTGATACATAAAAAAGAGACCCTTATTCGAGATGATCCTTGTGATCGTGAACTATGAAGGGGGGCGCTATAATGTGACCCAGATTTTCGTGCATAGCCGAATGGTCAATGCCACTGGCTATATCGATGTGCTGGAAACGTTGATAAAGCAATTGAGTGAAAGGGTGGACGTATGTATTACATTAAGACAAGGATCCCTCCCATGCGACCTAACAGTGGCTGTTCAAAAATCTTCACGATCAACACCATGCCAAGCATTTGACAACCGTCTGCTATTTTGAATCTTCTGGACTAAAACGCTGACATGCTCATTAGGAATCCAAGAAGGTGTCGCGATATGAAGACGGACAATTGAAGAATACCAGTATACACAAAAGAACCAAACATTGTCTTTATAACAGCCAAAATAGTAATGATTGTTCGCATACAAAAAGGTATAAAAAGTGTAATTAATTGCGAAAACCTTTCTCTGAAAACAATTTTTACGGAAATTGGGTTTTTCAAGTCCAGTTACTTTTATTGCTCTTTCCACTATTGATAGCGGTTTCCTTCCTAACCTTTTGCTTGAAGTACTGTGTAATGTCAGCATTCTTGATTATGTCATTATTTTCTCTACCTGGTACATACAATATCCGTCTCAGGTTTTGCTGCTGTTGGTAAACCTCAAGGAAGAATGATATTCGCTAAGACCGACAGACTTCATTCGCTCGAAGCCATTTTTAACCATCTATCTGAGAAAACTGATATTTTAGACATTTGTGAGCGAATTTAGAACAAAGAAATGACATCAATATGAAAGTCTTGATCGGATGAGTCTATTTAAGAAAATGACGTGAGATTTTAAACTTTTTGGTTTTGTAGCAACTTGTGGTGTTGAGCAAAACTTGTATAGCCTATTCTATGTTCATTTTTCCTATTTTCTATACTCAATGTTCTATAACTGGTCAATATATATATATATATATATATATATATATATATATATATATAAAATGTACGTGTCTGTGTTATATATTTATTTACAGTGAGGTTCACATTGTACAATGCCTGGGTACCACTCGAGGTAGAGGGTTACAGTAAGAGGGTGTTTATGCGGATAGGAGGGGGAAGATAAAGGTTATCCATAGACTTGAACATATTAAGATTGGAATGATCGGGGAAACATCCTCTTGGGTGGCGGTTCCACAGATCAATGGTTCGCGGGAAGCCGCCGTTCGAGTTGAACTTCTCACCAATCGAATAGATAAAGTTTTTGATATTAAAGGCCCTGAAAGCTATAGATACAGAGAGAGTTCTTCCGCTAAAGAAATTTCTTATATTCTGACAATGAGGTATACATACATTCCGTGCAGACAGTTATTCTAATCAAAATATGACACAAGGAAATTAGAGAATGCCAAAATTTACTGTGCTCACTAAAAATTCAGTTTTCCCACCTGGCTTTCTTTGCCTTGGAGCAGAAATAGATGTCACACCTTTAACAACGTCTTCATATAGAATGGCCGGATAAACGCTTCTTGTCGAATCAAGGGCTTTTCTGCTGCCATTCCACACGTTTCCAAACTACCGCCAGGTACATCACTTCACCTCCTCATCTTGTACTTTCATAATGAACAGACGAGTTGGTTCTTTATAGTTAACACTTTGGAGACATACATTTGGTATTAGGTAAACCTTTTCGCACACAAGAGCCAGAAAAAAAAAAAAACAGAAAATAGCTTATGAGTACGGAAATCATTGAAGAAAAACAGAAATTGAAGAAATACAAGGTGTGACAGAAATACCTCCCACATTTAAACCAATCACCAGCGTGGTGGTTGTGAATTTAGACAAGTGGTAATAGTATCTTCATCTAGCTAAAATCTCATAATTTATTTCCTTAGCATCAGTTACCATCGTGGCTTCACCGATGCATACTGTGCGTTTGCAGTTGAAACGATTTTTCTTTACCTTTTAGTTGGGTGATTCTGTAATTGCAACAGAGAGAGCTTTACGTGCTCGTTTCATATTACATCGGAATGATACTGTTCCGGATCGAAAATACTATGGTTTGAAAAATGCGTAAGTCCCGTAGAATCGTTAAATGCCTAAGTTCGTCGAATGCCTTCGTTTGCCGTAGCCGGACGTGCGTCGTGCCTGAACAGTGGTCATGGGACCACTAGCCCGAAGTAGTGCCTAAGTTCGGTGGCCTTCGTTTACCGTAGCCGGACTCCCGTAATGCGCCTTAGAAGGTAAGTGCGAAAAGTGCGTAATTTTGTCGAAGGCCTTCGTTTGCCGTAGCCGGACTCCCGTAGTGCGCCTTAAGAGGCATGTGCGTAAGTCCCGTAGAAGGCCTTCGTTTGCCGTAGCCGGACTCCCGTAATGCGCCTTGGAAGGTGGTGCGTAAAGTGCGTAATTTTGTCGAAGGCCTTCGTTTGCCGTAGCCGGACTCCCGTAATGCGCATTAGGAGGCATGTGCGTAAGTCCCGTAGAATCGTTAAATGCCTAAGTTCGTCGAATGCCTTCGTTTGCCGTAGCCGGACGTGCGTCGTGCCTGAAGAGTGGTCATGGGACTACTAGCCCGAAGTAGTGCCTAAGTTCGGTGGCCTTCGTTTACCGTAGCCGGACTCCCGTAATGCGCATTACGAGGCATGTGCGTAAGTCCCGAAGAATCGTTAAATGCCTAAGTTCGTCGAATGCCTTCGTTTACCGTAGCCGGACTGCCGTAATGCGCCTTGGAAGGTGAGTGCGTAAAGTGCGTAATTTTGTCGAAGGCCTTCGTTTGCCGTAGCCGGACTCCCGTAATGCGCATTACGAGGCATGTGCGTAAGTCCCGTAGAATCGTTAAATGCCTAAGTTCGTCGAATGCCTTCGTTTGCCGTAGCCGGACGTGCGTCGTGCCTGAACAGTGGTCATGGGACCACTAGCCCGAAAGTAATGCCTAAGTTCGGTGGCCTTCGTTTACCGTAGCCGGACTCCCGTAATGCGCCTTAGAAGGTAAATGCGTAAAGTGCGTAATTTTGTCGAAGGCCTTCGTTTGCCGTAGCCGGACTCCCGTAGTGCGCCTTAAGAGGCATGTGCGTAAGTCCCGTAGAAGGCCTTCGTTTGCCGTAGCCGGACTCCCGTAATGCGCATTAGGAGGCATGTGCGTAAGTCCCGTAGAATCGTTAAATGCCTAAGTTCGTCGAATGCCTTCGTTTTCCGTAGCCGGACGTGCGTCGTGCCTGAACAGTGGTCATGGGACCACTAGCCCGAAGTAATGCCTAAGTTCGGTGACCTTCGTTTACCGTAGGCTGGAGGAATCGTTTTCAATAGCGTATGGAGAATAGTGACAACCATTTGGGGGCTGCCACTTTTAAAACCAAATGAATAAATACTATAGCCCTTTGTTTAAAGAACAATGAAATATTTTTAATAGCAGTTACGTTGGTATTTTAGCCACACTTTAAGATGTAGGACGTATTTCTGCCGCACTCTGTATAAAGAAAAAGGTCTCCAAGACTAATTCCTGATCTTGAATCTCAGCTTCAGTCACTTTTCCACGGTCGTAATGTTGCCTCCCAGTGCCTTTTCTATAAATACTTCCACGATGATTATATATCTATCTATATATCTATCTCTCTCTCTATATATATATATATATATATATATATATATATATATATATATAAAAAAATTATAACAAAAAATTATAACATTATATAAAATCACTACAAAAATAGCCATTTTGTTTCAACACAGTGTTTTTTTTTTCAACATCATCACTTGATAAGACACAGAGTGTGTTGAAACAAAATGGCTATTTTTTGTAGTGATTTTATAACATACTTATGTTATAATTTTTTTATAAAAAATAATTATATCTGCTCTACTTTGTATTGAGCACTCTTAAGAATAGTAATTGTTGGTTATTGGAATTCATTCCGTATATACCAATTATATATTTGGGTATCTATCTATCTATAGATATATATATATATATATATATATATATATATATATATATATATCTTAGTGTGTGTGCGTGATATATAAACACACACAACAGACAACTTGCTAGACGACATTAAGCAAGAAAAATTATTTTAAGTAGTAGGAAAAAACATTTTTTTCATAGCTTTTTTATATAAAGCCAATGTCGCTGGAAAACTATCAAGCACTCTACATAAACCTCGTAACAGGAGCTATGTTTTGCATTAAGTGCAAAGAACATCAACTCATCCAGTAAAAATTGTTTTCGTGTGTAACTTTGCCTTGGTTTCTGCAAAAACATCGTGCCACCTTCAGTTTTATCGATTTTTTTTGCCAAACACGGCGGTGGGGATTTGGAGATTGAAAGTTGATCTCAAACTATTTTAATGAATTGTCATCACGTGTATTTAATTCCATCAAAATTGGTCGAGAAATATGGACATAATTAAATAGCATACACACACACAAACACCTGTTTATATATAACTAAAAAAAACATTGTTGGAGGGACCAACAGGCAATGTGCCACTAGTCAAGAAAAATTCAGGTACCAGGTAA